TTAACCCACTGGAGTTAATTTTTGAAGGTGTATATAGGGAATTATACGCTCAGGAGGTTTTACTTTTATTATTATGATTCCCCATGCAGAGCTTTGCAAATATCTCACAACGTGAAAAATCCTTCACATTATCTATCTGTCATGTCAGCTCATGCTCATCACACCCTGAGGCCAAAACGGAATAAAGAACATTCTCCAATCTTTTCTAATTAAGCACAACAAAGCTCAATAGAAGTAACATTTCTGCTCAGCAACTGCCACTTAAAGCAGGTACTTATAAAAACCTCCAAGAGCACTTTGTGAATTTAGGGTATGGTCATTTACAAATTACAACATATGTATCACTAACAAGGAAACTTCATGGTAATGTATGGTGGAGTTTGAAATATAGACTATGACTTTTTGAAAATAAGACTGAATAAAAACAAAGTAGAAATCACCTATTATTGATCTTTGCTCCCTCCTTCACTAGCTTAGTGTCTGGAAAAGAACAGGGGCTCATATAATTTTTTGAATAAGTTAATGAATAAAAGTATAAATTCTTCTTTACTGAAAAACCTCTAAATAATTAGAAATGATGAGATAATATAACTTACTTCACTTAAAAGGTGATCCTTTCAAACAAAACAGACCAGATATAAAGAAAGATATTTAAGAGTTGTCTCAATTTCAACATCTATAAAATGTGTAGAATCTATATGGTTATTATAAAGATTAAATCAAATAATATAAATAAATCATATACTTGCAATTTTATATGTCAAATATGTCCTAAGTATGTTTGCTTATTGTTACAGCTATTATTAAAATTCTCTAGTTGTCCAATAGCTATTTGGCAAATTATCAATTGAATTTCTTTGTTAACCTCAAGAAATCACAAAGAACAGAATAATTCATTTATGTCTGGACACAGTCATTTGTTTTATCGTTTTATTATTGATTTCTATGAATTCTTTATATATTTTAGATGTATATCTTCTGTTAAATATGTGTTTTGTGAATATTATTTTCTCATTAAGTTCTCTCCTTTTTATAATGGGGTTTTTTTAGAAACAGATGTGCTTTATTAAAGAAATCTAATTCATAATTTTATATCATTAATGTGTGCTTTTTTGTATTTTTAAGAAATCTTGAGCTTATCAAGGCAATAAAAATATTTTCCTGTATTTCTTTTAGAAACTTTTGGTTTACATTTTTCCTTTATACCCATAATGCTAATTAATTCATTTTAGTGTGTGTTTTGAGGCAGGGGTCAATGTATTTTCCATGAATCTATCTAGCATATGTTGAAAAACTATCTTGTGCCTATTAATGGTTATGACACATTGATTAAAAACAAACAAACAAGCAAAAACAAGATTATACACATACACCCCTTGCTTTATGGCACTGTTTTTGAACTCTTCCATTTTCTTCCATTGACCTATGTGTTTACACTTATGTCAGTACTACATCATTTTGTTTATTGCAGCTTTGTTGAAAATCTAGAAATTAGGTAGAGTGAGTCTTCCAGCTTTGTTCTTTTTTTAATCCTCACCTGAGGACATGTCTTATATTTTGTTTTGCAACCTAGGTATTTGTGTCCCCTTTGTCCTTTGGTGAAGCTTTATTGAATGTTTCTTCCAAAGCCTATACCAGTGGTCGGCAAACTCATTAGTCAACAGAGCCAAATATCAACAGTACAACGATTGAAATTTCTTTTGAGAGCCAAATTTTTTAAACTTAAACTATATAGGTAGGTACATTGTTATTAACTTAATTAGGGTACTCCTAAGCTGGCCTTTGCTAAAAACATCCTCAATCTGATTGAGGTACTTTCGTTGAGGTCGACCCCTTCCAACTCTCTCATCCACACTCGTCTTGTATACTTGTTTAACAGACTCGCCCAGGCCAAAAACCGACTTCTGCGTATGGGCCACGAAGTTTCAATCGCACTGTACATGCGCGCCCGCACGTGGTATTTTGTGGAAGAGCCACATTCAAGGGGCCAAAGAGCTGCATGTGGCTCGAGAGCCACGGTTTGCCGACCACTGGCCTATACAATTCTAAATCCACCCATCCCTGAGGTTTCTTCAGGTAGCAAGAGGTTGATTTTCTCCTGCCTTTCTCTTTCTCCAAGGTTGACATGCTTTACAGTAAGTGGACCGGGTGTTCAAAATCAATCCCCTGCACTGACTTCCAATGGTATCATTAATCTAAGAATTTCAGGAATGTTGACAAAATTTTCTGAAGATGTATAAGCTAACAAAAGGGGCATGAAAAAGACTAACTTTTTGATGTCTTCAAAGTCCCATTTCTACTTTCAAAGTCCCATTTCTACCCACCACCTCCTTTACTCCATCCCTTCCAGACTGACCTTGGTAAAACCTAATTCTTTCTCACATTGTCAACATGTTTTCTTTTCCTATATATTCCCCCAATGTCATGCCCGAACTCATTAATGGACTCAGCAAAATAAAAATGAAACAGGACCTTTGCAGTATAATCCTTTGTCTTTCCTATGCCCTCATAGCCGTTTTGTATGTGCTTTATGAAAAGTTAGGGAAATACATAAAAAATACAAAGGAAAAAACTCACAAATTATCTCAGTCAGGTTTTAATATTTTGCCTATTCAGAAGATTTCACATAAATATCCTACTATATGTACCTTTATTCTGATTTTGCATTGAATCTTTTAGGAATGATCATTATTATTAAATGCATCTGGGGTAATAATTGCATGGGCTCCCAAATACTTTATTATGCACTTTGAAACAGTCTTTAATCACATATGCTTGTAATTATGTTTCAGGGGCTGTGTGAACAAATATTAAAGTATTTTTCACATGTAAATTTTAGAGTTATAGGCCCCCAAGTTATCCTTATAAAAATTGTTGGATATTATGCAGCCACTAATAATAATTGATTAGAAGATTATATTAATTGATGGGGTGAAATTTCCATGATGTTAAAAACTAAGAATTACAAGATACCATGAAGGAGATAGAAATGTCTGTTTCCTATCTGTGGACAGAGATTCAATACGTTAGAGGAGCTCGGACAACATTTTCTTCCAAAGTACTAATAGTTAAAGAAAATGGCTGTTATGAGCCTTTATTCTTACAAATTCATGACTTGGTTTGCATAGTAGAGTGAGACAAAGACCAAAAATGTAACCCTTATAGAACTTATAGGGAATGAGTTAAAATCTGGACCAAGAGGTCATACTACATTGGCAAGAAGGGGGCCGGTCAAATGGCAGTATTTTGCTAAACTATTCTTATGACACAATAATAAACAGTGATAGGAAGGCTTTATGCCCTTCATCAAAATTAATCCAAGCAAAGTGAGTTTCTTCTTTGCTCCTGGCCTTACAACTCTTTTAAGTTTTAAACAGGTATAAAGTGCAACATGAACAGAGAAGGTTTAACGTGTTTTCCAGCTTCTGACAAATTAACAAGAAACAGTAGAGGACACTTGTCATGTGTTATTTGAAGTTCTATTTTAGATATAAAATATTTATAAAAGCTAAATAAAGCTTTCTCTTTTTGAAACTGTATTAGGTAATGACAATAACTAATAAAATTAAAAGCAGAATTTTATTTTTCGGTGTTCATAAAAATGACAGAAATGTTAAAGATAAGTAACAGACAAGTAAAAAAAAAGAACAAAAAGTCATATAATTTTTCTACTGTGAAGCAGTAAATGAAATTTGAAATGAGGTCACTTTTAACTTTTTTTATTTTTGGCTAATTTTTTTTTTTTTTTTACTTTTAAATCATGCCATTGCCAAAGTTAAGGCTAATATTGGTACTGCAGCATATTTATATTTAATATCATTAACCATCAGTTTTATGGCTAGGCATTTAGCCTAATGCAGTGGTTGGCAAACTGTGGCTCGCGAGCCACATGTGGCTCTTTTGCCCCTTGAGTGTGGCTCTTCCACAAAATACCGACTTCTGGTGCATGGGCACGAAGTTTCAATCGCACTGTACGTGCGCGCCCGCATGTGGTATTTTGTGGAAGAGCCACACTCAAGGGGCCAAAGAGCCGCAGTTTGCCGACCACTGGCCTAAGGCAATAATCAAAGACATGAGCCAAGATTTACTTAAAAAATGTTCATAACTTTATAATTGACTTATAATTCTCATTAAACCAAAAATCAATATTAACAAAAATATGGCAATTCAATATTTTGATTCATCCATAAAAGAGAATATTAAAAATCATTTCAAATATATAATGGCATGAATAAAATTTATGTTAATACTAAATTCAGATAATTTATTTTATTTAAATTCATGAATATATGTATAGAATAAGACTGGAAAAGATGTATACAAACTATGGTTATATTCAATTGAAGATAATTTCTTTCTCTTTTAAAATTTTAAAAAATCTTTTGCAAAGAATCTTTTGAAATTAGGAAAATGTTATTTGTAGAAAAATGAAGATTCAGATTTTACGTTTCAATTCAAAATTCCCAATATAAAGAAGGCTACTTTGTGTAATTTTTTTCCAGTTATATCCTCTTATTCAGGGGTCCTCAAACTACGGCCCGCGGGCCACATGCAAATACAAATATTGTATTTGTTCCCGTTTTGTTTTTTTACTTCAAAATAAGATATGTGCAGTGTGCATAGGAATTTGTTCATAGTGTTTTTTAAACTACAGTCCGGCCCTCAATGGTCTGAGGGACAGTGAACTGGCCCCCTGTTTAAAAAGTTTGAGGACCCCTGGTCTAAGTGATATTACAGCTACAGGATGGAACAGTCCTCAGGAATGAGGTATTAAAGAACTCTCAATGGCAAGCAAAACTAAGATTAAGTGATTAAAGAATATAAAATAGCACCTAAAGATATGCATGTTATGTACAGAAAAAAGACCAAAAAGAAATGAATACAGAGTGAGCATCACTAGGTCAGAGATTTTCTTTTTTAACCAGTATATTCCCAGTTTTTTAAAAAACCTATCAGAAAAAGAGATATCCAAAATAAATAAATAAAAATAAAAGAGAGGGATGTCCAGGTGACATGTGAGAAATACTTGCTTAAATGAAGCCAATCGAGAAGATGCTGGCTGCTGCTTCCACAGAAGCTGAGGTGCCCACCTGCTCATTGTCCCTGGTGAGTGCTCCGGCCGAAACCCTGTCCACCATTTTCTCATTTCCAGTTCTGAACGCGGCCTCGACAAGGTACTCCTTCACTTTGCTCTCCGCCACCACACCGGGACGCCAAAGGAGCTGGTCTCCATCTTCAGACGCTGAGAAAGGAACCTCATTAGCCCAGGCAACAGTGAGCACACGAGCCCGGGGGACATGACTTCCTCTCCCTCCGCACCTGCCCTGGGACACGACTCACAACAGGCCCACCAGCAGCCGGCTCGCTGCCACACTGAGCCTTCGTTACAAGGGTTTAAAGCCGTGTTCACTTCACTAAGAGCCAGCGCTCCAGCGGCTAAAGGAAGTCGTTGGGTTCATGCCCTCTCTCCTGCGTGCCGGCTGAGGAGGCCACCTCCACGTGTGCATCTAAGGACGACAGTGTGAGCACAGCACGGCGCCACGGAGTGTGGCATGTGGTGGTGATGGGGGGGGGTTGGGGCGCTGAAGTCGACCTGCGTGCCTGCCTCCCAGGACATCTGCCCAGCACCCCGCAGGCGGGTTAGGGGAGGGTGGCCAGAACTGCCAGGGCTGATGGCCCGGGGAGGCCAGTCCTGCCTCCCTCTCCTTGGGGGCAACCTGACCCGGAGGAGGAAGAGCTCAGGAAGCGTGTGCTGTGTGGTTCTGCTGTAACAGCTCCACAGGACGAAGCAACTCGCCGGGAGAAAGGTCAGTCACGTGGCCAAACCTGCCTGGTCCCCAAGTCACAAGTAGTATTTGCCAGCAGCTGCCCCCCGCCCCAGGCCCTCGCTAGTTCCGATGCAGTATTCCTCTGCCAGCCCAGTGTCCCCGGTTGAAGTCCATCTGTGTATTCCCAACACTGGTTTGTAATCAGACACGGAAATAAGCCCACGAAGGGGTAGCGTGGCCGACCAAATACTGTCAGAATCAAAAGCCTCCTTACCGTTCTCATCATCCTCATACTCTCCCAGATACGGGGGGATCTCAGCCTGATATTGTAAACCAATCATTATTTCCTACAGGAAAATTCAGAAGTAAAAACAACGTATTATAAAAATAAATATTAGAAAAAATTTCCAACTCATTACTTGGTTACTGGTCAAAAATCTTCATCATGTAATAACAAAACTAAAAAAAAATTTTTTGAGAGAGAGGGAGAGGAAGAGAGAAACATGGATATGAGAGGGCAACATCGATTGGTTGCCGACTGCACACACCCACACTGAGAACTGAACCAGCAACCTGGGATGTGCCCTGACCAGGAACCAAGCCCTCAACCTTTTGGTGTATAGGACGATGCTCAACCAACTGAATCACACTGGCCAGGGCCAAAATTTCTTAAATTATTTTTAAAGCCCTAACCGGTTTGGCTCAGTGGATAGAGCGTCGGCCTGCAGACTGAAGGGTCCTGGTTTCCATTCCGGTCAAGGGCACGTGCCTGGGTTGTGGGCTCGATCCCCAGTAGGGGGTTTGCAGGAGGCAGCCAATCAATGATTCTCTCTCATCACTGATGTTTCTATCTCTATCTCTCCCTTCCTCTCTGAAGTCAATAAAAATATATATTTTTAAAAATGTTTTAAAGTGCTACTTTAATACTTTGGTCCAAATAGCCCACTAAGTTATGGTAACTAAATTTACCTTCCTCAAATCTTCAGGTGAGTTACCACTGTCTGTTTCAACATCTTCAATCTCTGATTCTTTATCTCCGTCACAAGTAGTATTTGCTGAGAAGAAGAAAATTAAATTTTCAAAAGAGGTTTTTATTGGCTATTTCTGTAGCATCTGGAAGAGGGCCTGGCGCATGGAATTTACTGAAATTTGCTGAATAACTGAGATCAGCAAGACTATCCCAACCCCTTGAGCTTCTCCCACTTCTGACACATCAGAGCAAGCCCTGCCGCGGCTGCCGCAGGGACAGGGCCCTCGTGCCTCACGTGTCCAGTCACTCGCCTGGGGGGGCACAAGGCCGACCACGCGGCCACCTCAGAACAGCCTGAGCCCACGGGAGCTGCACCCTCAGCCGTCAGGGAGTCTGTGCACAGTGTGCACGTGTATCCCAGCTTGTCAACTGAACGGCTCACCCACAGAGCACTTGGGAAATCAGCAAGCTGCCCGTAAGAGATTACTCCTGTTCAAAGACCGTCTAAATATTACTGATAAATATTAAGGGATAACACAAGAAATGAAAGGAAAGAAAAGGAGCAAATAAATCACTAAAAATAAAAAATGCTAGCCCAGCCGGTGTAGCTCAGTGGTTGAGCATGGACCTAGGATCCAGGAGGTCACGGTTGATTCCCAGTCAGGGCACATGCCCAGGTTGTGGGTTCAATCCCCAGTGGGGGATGTGCGGGAGGTGGCTGATGAATGATTCTCTCTCATCATTGATGTTTCTCTCTCTCTCTCTCTCCTCCCCTTCCTCTCTTAAATCAGTAAGCCACGGCCTGAAAGCAGGTATCTGGGGTTTGTTTAGCTTCTATAATTGAAACTTTGTTGCTTTCAGAGCTCAGAGCCAGGCCGCGGCAGGCAGGGAGCCTTGGCTTTCTCCATTACTGGAGCAAGCAAGCCTCCTGCTCTCTTCAGCTGTGTGGCTGCCGGCCGCCATCTTGGTTGGGTTAATTTGCATATCATGCTGATTAGCCAATGGGAGGCATAGCGAAAGTATGGTCAATTACCATGTTTGTCTATTATTAGATAGGATTCCTTTCATGTAATTATTTCTCATAAAAACCTCTTCATTTCACCCTTAATCAGAACACTATTTGGGGTTCTGCCTGAATCTATGCTCCCCAGGTTGCAATTCTTTGATTGCAAATGAACACTTGTTGCCTCTCATTTGGCCTTGAACAACTAGTTGGACTCCATTTCATATGTCTGATAAATGTAGATGTCATTATCTTTGACAGTATCCAATTACTATATTATTTACACCGTATTGCTATGTATGGGGTAGTGTGTAAATGTATACATATGCAAACACAACACACAATGTCCTTACTTATGCTTTCCCCATGTTTTTCTTTCCTCTAGCTTTTCCAACTTAGAGTACATAAGAAATATATGAGAGACTTTGTAATAAATACAGATTTATCATTCTTATCACAAGAAAATTAAGTTCAGGAGGCATTAAGTGAATCCAAGAATTTTTATTTTCAACAACTTCTCAGATAATGGCCATGTTGTTGGTCCAAGGATCATACCATATTGACCAGTGCTCTAGCATAAAACTCACCAAAGTTTATCTTTCTACAAGCACATACATGACTTTTTTCATTAGTTCTGATTTTCCATGGCTCTAAACTCTCAATATCTGTAATTGCCCCCTAAAATTTCTGAAAAAGTCACTGAAACCAGGTCCAAGGAACATTCATGAGATATACTATTCCTGTTTATGTCCATTTTTGATTTAAGTCAAGCAGTGCCTGAAATAATTAGTATTCAGCATGGCCTCATATAACTTTAAGTGAGTTCCTGATATCTCAAACATCATAGGTTTATCAAAGTTTTTGTTATGGTTCTATGAATGCTTCACTGATTAACCATTTTCTTTTAGATGCCTGATCTATTATTTTTATACTAGAGGCCTGGTGCATTAAATTCATGCACTTGGAGGGGAGGGGAAGTCCCCTCAGTCCGGAAGCCCTCAGGCAATGTCCGATTGCCTTGGAGGCAGGAGAGGTCCCACCACCTCCCCTATGCTCACCAGCCATGAGCCCTGCTTCTGGCTGAGTGGTGCTCCCTTTGGGGGAGTGCACTGACCACCAGGGGGCAGCTCCTGTATTAAGCGTCTGCCCCCTGGTGGTAGTGCGCATCATAGAGACAGGTAGTTCCGCCGTTCAGTCAATTTGCATATTAGCCATTTATTATATAGGATATTTAAGAATCTTGGAATATTTTCCAATATTTTTCCTTCTCATTTATTTTTGCCATTATCTTTGGTTACTCTTTATACACTACTGGGATAAATAAGCTATAAGAGCAGTCAACTTAAAAAGCAGGTAGAGGGGAAGATAAAAGATAACACGATCCACAACCCATCATAATATTAAACATATAAATATACAACAGTCATAATCCTATATACAAAGAGACATTACTAGTATGTATTTGTTGACTTTTAAATTCAATTAAATTGACATGCCTATAATCTTTGGCTTCCCCCTTTGATCCTTTTCCTATTATTAATAAATAGTTAATTATAGTGGTATCAAATTCTATCTTCTATTCATGAAAGTCACGTAAAAAGCAAATAAAAAATCAGAAGCAAACACAATGGGTCTCTAAGTATAATTGTTGCCTATTGCATAGCTTGCAGTCTGGCTCATCAATAATTTCTGGGGAAGGCTTAATCATATGATTTAGATTTAATCCTCAGCTGTACTCAAGAGGTCATTAGGAACATCAGATCCTTCTGGACCTTCTGGGAATTCTATAATTTGATAGTAGGAACTCCCAGAACACTTAGGTATTGAAGTTGTAAAGATGCATTTCCTATGCCTTCCAATTTTTGCATTTGCTTCCTAATTGTCTCTAGGGCTTTAGAAAAGGCTTAAGTAAGGCTTTCTAAATGGCTTCTTAGCATTATCTTCTTTCTTCAAACAAAATAAATGAATGCATTTCGAGAGACTATTGAAAGAGCCCTTTATAACATTTTATTAGTTAACAGAAAAACCCTAAAAAAATATTTTGCATCTCTGGATGTCTTTTTAGAATAAGGTGGTTTCTCTTGAAGAATACCACACTCAACGGGAATATTAGCATCCAAGAAGCACACATTTTATCATTAATCATTCATGAGACCCAAAACACCTGCAGCAGGGAAGAGTAAAGTGCCAACTTCAAGTTGAAAATCAAAATCACCTAATAGACCATTTTAAAATGACATGAAGGCCAGAGTAAGTGAAGAAATTCACAACCATATTCAGAGGACCACTTCTTTCAGGCATATGTCATTTGATAATGTACAGCTTTGGCATAAATCAAAATTTTGAAATTTCATTTTCATGGTTTGTTTCCCTTCCCATCTATCCAGTACAATTTTAGTAGAAACACAACTTGGCTACATTATCCTCCATATTTAGCTCTCCCTTCTCTTGAAAGGATTCTCTTTCTTTTCTCTCTTTCCTCCTCCTAACTCCATATTCCTCTTTAGCATTTCTATAATCCCCAATAAGCCAAATCAATGCCCTTTTAACTTTAGCAGAATTTTTTGTTTGCTTGCTTATTTTTCCAAATCCCTTTCTCTGCATCTCTGCTTCATCCAGTTATGTAGTCAGTGGAACTAAGCATAAGTCCTCATTCAGTACTGTTGTGGATTCATTAATCCTACTAGAGAATTTAGAGCTCAATCACCAAAGCTAAGAGGAGAAACCAATAATTTAATCTAAGAAAGCAATTATAAAGCATTTTAAAAATAAAATAATTTGCCAGGACTAATTGGCTAAAAGTTTGAAGTATGAAATTATAAATTATAGTAACTCCAAATATTGAAACACTGAAGCTAAGCAACCATTTACATAGTGAATAAAGAGGGAAGGGAGGTAGAAAGAGAAATTAGGCCCCAAAGAATTGATGGGGAAAAGGTGGTAAAAGTAAGGCCAGGCCTAGCATGTGACTCTCCAGAGGAACTAGCTGAGCTCAGCAAAGGACAGTCTCAGAGTAGGAGCGACGTCCTGCCTGCACCAGATGTCAGGCTGTGTGGGGATCACCACACACAACATGATGTATTAAAACCATTCCCAGGAGGCACTGGGAGCGTTGCTTCAGTTAGAGAGGCATGAGACTGAGAAAACAGGGGTCATGGATGAGGAATTCCAGAGAAAACCTGACCCAAGGGATTTTGAAAGCATGACCGAGTTCAGGTGCTCAGGGGATAGTTAGGAAAGTGAAGATGTAGGTCTGTTTTTGAGGAAGTATCTCAGGTCAGGAGATGAAGTGAAGAGTCAAAACAAACCAAAAACGGAATCTGTAAGGATGGGGAAAGACACTCTTAAAGTATCAATACTTTAATTTATATGTATAAAAATAAAAATGATAGAATTAAAAGAACTACTATTAGTAACGTTGATGGTGCTTTTCTGTACCCTTCATTTATAGATGGAATGCAACTCAATAATAATGGAGGTCCTACTTTATGTCACTGCTGTGCCAAATCATGGGATATAATGGTATCAATGAAAATATGTTCCCATCACATACACAAGCTTATAGTCTCATGCGTGAAACACACTGAGACACACGTACCACACATAAATATCACATACTCACACAGGAAATTTACAACTGTGACCACTCCTGAGAGAAATACATGGAAAAGAGAAAGTGAGAGAATGGGAGGTTCTAAAAGTAATAGGTTGCTTTGAGTATTCAATAGTCCTGAAAGAGTTACTGCAGAAAAAATATGGGAAGGCCTTATTAGGCAAAGAGAAAAGGCACATGCACTTGAAGTTGGGATACTCTGAATAAGAAAAATATAAAGATCAAATCTAGGTTCCCTGAGGAATGGTTAGCTTTTCTTTTCATAATTCAATCCAGTTGTGCCATTTATACCAAACCAAAAAAATGCTGACATTGGGCGTTACAGTCATTTCCATTAAGTAGTCAGTCTACAGTCTAACTCAGATATTAATACGTTACCTTTCTTCCCATGTTCCCCGCCCAAATTTCGGTACCCTGAGGATCATTTGAATTAATGTATGGAATTAGGACACTTTTATACTGCTACAATTGAAATAATTTTTTTCTAATGTTTATTTAAAGTAAGGGCAATCTGAAATTTATGAGTATGTAGTATTTTTATATGACTTTAGCAGAAATAATTTAATTTTAGTAGTGGAGAAAATCTTGTTTCACTCAAAGAATAATACTTCTCAAAGCGTGGTTACTGAACATCCTCCAGATAGTCTATGGTCAATCTCACATTATAGAGGTCTCTGCTTATCCACAGGGCATACGTTCTAAAACCCTCAGTGGATGCTTGTAACCATGGATAGTACTGAACCCTGTATATACTATGTTTTTTTCCTATACATACATACCTATGATAAAGTTTAATTTATATATTAGGAACAGTAAGATTAAAAACAAATAATAAAATAGAACAATTATACAATATACAGTAATAAATGTTATATCAATGTGATTTTATTTAACCCTC